TCTTGCACACAAGAACTCGTTCGCAGTGAACTTGAACTCAACTTTGATTAATAACTTGAATATTGGGTACAAAATTCGTAGGTCTTACACCCTCTATTTATAGATGTCTCAAAAACATAAAACTAATCTAAAAAGAATAGGAAAACAAATACCAAACTAACTAGTAAACATACTAATAAATAAAACAAACAAAAACTCCTCTTGCACAGCACGTCGCAGCTTGGTCTTCATGCTGAACCTTCTTCTTCACGGAATTGAGCTTTGTTCCACATGTCCTTCTCCTTAGCGGAATTGTAATTTCGTCCGCTAATTGTCCTTCCGTACAATTAATTCCATGACAGCTGCGGATGCTCTTTCCATTTGCGGAATCAATTTCCCTCTATTCACAGAACCTCCACGTGAGCTTGTGAGACTCCCTGCTAATTACACCATGCATAAAATTCTCATGCCATACGTGTTGTGCTCGAGTTGGCAGTAGTTTCAACGCCATTTATCCATTAAGAATGCTCATAATTGATCTTTCAATCGTCGAACCTGAATCTTCATTTTTGGTCCACGGAAATTAAATATCATGCTAGTAGATATCGCATCATCTGTCAATCTGGCATGAATGGACCTACCAATAATGAGACGATATTGAGTTTAATGTGATGTTCATTTCGCCATTTCTAGATGTGTTAATCAATTTATAGGACATTAACGTATAAATGAGTTATAATTAACCTCATTATACAATTTTTACTCTTTATAAGAATTAATTTAATTTTAATATTTGTGATGCTTGAAATATTTTAATTTTAATATTTGTGATGCTTGAAATATTTTATGTATGATTTAGAGGTATACTTATTATTTGTAACATTAATGGTAGTTGGTTCAAATGTAGTAAACTTCACCAGGTAGTCAAAATCGAATTTTAGGTGCATTTATGACTATTTTTTTATCTTGGTATTGTGAATAGGTAGAAACTTAATTATTAGAATGCATATAATTATACCTAGGCACATGGTCGAGCTAGCACGACACAATTAGTGCATATCATGAAGATAATATATGTGGATCAGCCCTTTACAAGCATGAATGCTTCATGGGTCGTACTAAACTTAAACTCCAAGGCTCACGCACAGGTGCGAGCACCACACAGTCTATATTGGTGAACTCATGTTTTATGAAGAAATGCGTCATTTGATAAAAATAAAATAAAATGTTCTAAAAACAACACATAAAATTTGAATTAATGAGTAGTTTTTCACATCAACGTGTGACGGCTCACATTCTAAAAGGTTTATAAAATACATTCATAGTTTATTAACGGCTCAAATCATTCTTAATTAACTTCATAGCTAAAAAAGTCTTTTTACAGCTTGCAGGAATAACAAACAACGTCAACGGTAACTTTAGTAGCAAGTAAAGTGAAGAAATTGGGATTTAGTATTTCTTTGCAAATGTGTGTTTTTTTTGGGGGGGTGGGGTGGGGTGGATTTTTTTTCTTCTAAAAATTTGAGGAAGGGGTTGAAACTCATAAATTGAATAGCAGTATTGAACATTTGGAAGCGATATATAACTCTTAAATTAGTATTAAATTTTAGCCGATTGACCAATAGCCTTAGACCTCTTGCTAATCTGACATGATTGGATCCAATAATCATAAGATGAGATTTAGTTTGATATGCTGGTTCAAAACAATTTTTATGTGTAATTATTTGTACAACAAATACACGTAAATAAGTGAATATGAACCTGATTATGCATTTTGATTCTTTTGATAAATAAAATGGTTTAAGCGATGAACTAACTATACACTCACTCAATTGGTTTAACGAGTGTTGTTTTTATCACTTTTAGTAATTAGTTTATTCACAGGCTAGCAAACTACTTTGCTCCATCGAGGAATAAGCAACCATCTGTTCACCAAGTTTTAGGTGCTTTGATTCACACTATCGATTGTGAATGGAGAAGAAGCATTTCTAACGCATAATTGGAGAAGTAATTGAGATGTTTCTATGCTTCTCTCTATTCCAAGCGGTGGGAAGAAAGAGGAAGGGAAGGGGGAGAGTGGTGAGATACAAAGCTCGGGGAGAGATGGAAGAACAAATGAAAAAGGGAAGAGGAAGGCAAAACAGAGTGAGAGGACACATTTAAAAGTGGGGGGAAATGATGTAGTGTGCAATAATTGTCATTGTCCTTTGTTTAGAGGATGATATTATATTTGACAGATTTTTTCCACTTCAAGAAAAAATCCTAAATCAATATTATCATTTGGATGATTTTTTCCCTTAATACGATTATTGCAATTTCTGAGATTTAAGGGGTATTTGATAAAGTCAACATTTTAGTAGTTTTTATTGAAGTTTGAATTAAAAGATCGTATGTATCAGCGGTTCGACCATAAAACTTCACACCATAGGCTAAATTGGTAGGTGATATTTAGCAGTATGAAATGGTTGAACCACAGTTAAATTATGACTTCAATATAAAATACTCTACAATTTTCGATATGATTTTACAATCATTTGGTTCAAATAATTCTTTTACACTGGTAGAAACAAAATCGCATAGAGTTTATTTGTCTTCTTAATTTTGGCCAATTCTTCTTTAATTTATTTGTATCTCTCTATTAACCTATATTGGGTTCCAAGATTATCTCTCCTATCAAATACACCATCTCGGTCCACCATTAGCATACTCTCACTTCTTCTCTTGCATTTTATTGAAATCAAAACTTGAATAGCATTTGAAATACCATTTTAGTGCAAGTAAAATGACATGATTTCATCTCATCTTCAAAATCGCCGATCCATTAATTAACCAATCGTTTGAATGACATTTAACTTGTATGTATCCTATCCTATAGAATAACTTTCACAATTCGGAATCAATAGTATTTTTAAGTGTGTCCTAGATACACATGTGAATGATAGTATTTCCAAAGTCAAGTTGTTTTACAATCAATAGTATTTTTAAGTGAATGACATTTAACTTGTATGTATCCTATCCTATAGAATAACTTTCACAATTCGGAATCAATAGTATTTTTAAGTGTGTCCTAGATACACATGTGAATGATAGTATTTCCAAAGTCAAGTTGTTTTACATTCATGAATGAATAATAATTATAATGATAAAATAATATTTCCAAACTTTTATTGTGAATCTCATCCAACAAATCTAATAAAGGTTAGAACTTTAATAATTTGTATGTAACTAAAACTGCAGTCACGATGACATGAAACGCACGTGATAAAGCCTCATGTTTGGGAATTGGATTATGGATTAATACTTGGAACTTTCCTTTAACAATCATTATTTTTTAATTTCTGGATTTCTTTTTAATGTATTTGAATAATAGTGGGCCAGGAGCCCAAGTAATAAAGTGAGACCAAGCTCATCCTAACAATACTATATAGAGGTTCTTGGCATGAACCCCCTTAATCTCCTTTTTCCTGCTCTGTGCGTAACCCACGGCAGGAGATTTTGGTAATTGTGCTATCAATTTATTGACCGAACTGGGCTGGACCCATTCTTTTTTCCCTTGCAAACGGGACACGTAAACAATTGAAAGGGCTTTACTTGGACTAGAGATAATTGAGATGGAGAATTCTTTCGGAGGACAACACTCAAGCGGCATCATGCCATCATCCCCTAAATCTTAATAATCAGTTCACTCGCCATCTTCAAAGAAAGATGCTAATCAGCTAATAAAAATGGGAAGGAGATTATGTGTCTAGGAAGGACACTTCTTCCTTTTAATTATTAGTACTTCCATTAAACCATATTTGTAAATTCTATCGGTGTGAAACTGACGTGTCATATTTGTAAATATTTTATCATTAAATTTTTGTTTTCAATGAAATGTAGAAAAAGAATGCTTAATGATGGAGGTAATGGATCAAATATTGGAGATAATGACAGTTTGAGTGTTGATACGAAGGAAGATAATATTGAATTATTGATGGTGTAGACCATAGTTTTAGTTTGATTTAATAAGTTTTTTAATTAGCATTTGAATTCTTGATATTATCTTAGTTTTTAATCTCAACTTCTTACGTCGTTGAATCATTTAAGATGTCAGAAAACTCTATGAAACTCTTTGATGTATGTCATTTTTATCATTTTAGTAACTGAATTATTTGAATTTCTTTATCGTATTATATAAAAATGCATATTTGGTTCGGATAATTTCCATCGACAAAATGTACCCGTCCAACGGGCGGGCCCAAATCTAGTGTTTATTATAGTTGAGTTGAACCAAATAGAAGGAAAGCGAACTGCAGCACGAAAAGTGAGAATGCATGCAGGCTAGAAAAATAATTGATCTAAAAAGACCAAGGAACCCTTTCCGTCAATTGCGCAGAGAGCTAGCATTCTACAATTATGTATGTTCTCGCGGAGAATGTACATATAGTAGAAGGGAAGCGAACTGCAGCACGAAAAGTGAGAATGCATGCAGGCTAGAAAAATAATTGATCTAAAAAGACCAAGGAACCCTTCCTTCAATTGCGCAGAGAGCTAGCATTCTACAATTATGTATGTTCTCGCGGGGAAGTAAATTGGGAGGAAGTAAATTGCATTTTAGTCGTTTCTAACATTTATATTTTGGGATTTTCTCCCATATGGAGTTCGGCCGTTGAATCATTCTCTCATCTCAAGGGACGGCGGGAACTAACGTGGCCTTGACGCATATTGTTTGGCCTGGCTTAACCTTTATGGGCTGAGCCCGACCTTATGTTTGGCTTACAGTTCCGAATCCGGCCCGGAACGAGAGCACTTAACAAGCCTCCAACTTGCAAAGAAAGAAAAAGGGCCGATATTTACTAGGGACAACACCGTCAATTCGCTTAGCTACGACCCTTCTCCAAGACAGAGAGAGCCAACAGAGGAAAAACCCCTAATTTCGCTTCTTCCCCTTTCTTCTTGCTATTTGATCTCTGTTCCTTCGTCAGCCACCGCCTTCAACTTCCCTTCCTTCTCGAGAAGGACAGCTCCCGAATTCAGCCGACATGGGTACGCCGGAGACATCAAGGGAGCCCTGCCCAGATCGCATCCTCGACGACATCGGCGGCGCATTCGGCATGGGCGCCGTCGGCGGCTCCGCCTTCCACTTCATCAAGGGGGTTTACAATTCCCCAGTCGGGACCCGCATCACCGGCGGGACTCAGGCGGTCCGGATGAACGCGCCTCGTGTCGGCGGCAGCTTCGCCGTCTGGGGCGGCCTGTTCTCGGCTTTCGATTGCACGATGGTATACGTCCGCCAGAAGGAGGATCCGTGGAACTCAATATTCGCAGGCGCCGCCACTGGCGGGTTCCTTGCTATGCGCCAGGGGCTCGGAGCCTCGGCCCGCTCCGCCGCCTTCGGCGGGGTTCTGTTGGCTATGATCGAAGGTGCTGGGATCATGCTCAATAAGGTTATGAGTGCGCCGCAGAGCATGCCGGTGATGATCGAGGAGCCGGCCCCGGCTGGTGGACCGGGTTTGCCTGCCGGGTTTCCGGGTATGCCGCAGGAGCTACCGTCGCAGGGTCAGCAGCAGGAATCGGGTTCGTGGCTTGGTGGGTGGTTTGGCGGAGGGAAAAAGAACGAAACTACTGGCTCGAGTATCGGAAGCAAGGCGGAGATTCTGGAGAGCTTTGACGCACCTCCAGTGCCAAGTTTTGAGTACAAGTGAAGAGATTTGAGCTTACGAATTCTATTAATTTGTTGTCAGAACGTATGGTTGGGAGTTCTAAATCTCTATAGTTTTGTTGAACCAGTAATGCTTTCTCTTGTTTATGCTCTCGATTGATCTCTAGCTTGATCTCTAGTATTAGTGTGTAATAATTCTACCTTCGAAATTCTCTTGGGTCTGCCATACCCTAACCTCAGATTGATGGGTTTACTCGGTGTCTACTCCTTAGTTCTTGCTGAGTTAGGGAAGTGTACATGTTGCAAGTGGTAGTTTGGAATCAGCATTCTGAAGCTGCAAAAATTATATGGTTTTTTTGTCTTATGGTGATGTAAGTTTCTAATTCTATACTTGCAGAGGCATTTGCTTGCAGCTAGAGCTTCTGAAAGGTGGTGACTTTCATGCTTGTTTGGGGCAATTAGGCTGTTAAGCTCGAAACTTTGAGCTATTTATTAACAATCTCCATTGCCTTCTAATGTAGTGTAACTATAGATGTTGTATCGGTCTCTGTCTAAGTTATACTTGTAATGTCCAGAAAAAAAATGGAGCTGTGGGTTGCATCGTGGAATCATTTTAATTGGAATTTGTAAGTTGCAGATGGCTGTCTAGTGTGGAGTTAGAGTGGGTGCGATATTCTTTTTCGGTGAAAGATTTGACATTTTCTTGCAGATATGTGTCCGGTGTGGAATTTAGATTGTGCAGTAATATTAGTGTGTATTAGACTGTTAGTCTGCCTGGAAATTTGTCCCTGTGCTGCTATACAATTGATTATCTTTCACAGTTCACTTCTTATTTGGTGTGTTGGCTTTAAGAAGATGTGTACATAGAGATTGCTGTTGTGGACAAGCTGCAAAAAGCAATCTATGTTGGTATGGTCCGACTAGTCCAAATCTGTATCTGAAGCATTTTATGCTCGCAACAATGGTTGCAGGGAGCAGCTCCAGTATCATTTTTTTTTTCAGGATCTGTTGCCTTCCATCAAACAAGTAGATTGTTTGAGTTGGCAGCAATGGCTCTGGTAGTTGGACATGATTGTTGCATATAGACTGCCAGGGCAGTGCAGCAGTTAAGACGCAATCGCTTCGGAGTGTGAATCAAACTCATCTTTCTTATATGTTTGCTTAGGTGATCTTCTGTTTGTGGTTCTGATATGATGAAGTTGCTCTTCATCTCACATATGCTTGGGCACTCACTTAAGATGTGATATTAAGAGATCATAGGACTAAGGTCAGAGTTGTTGGAAGTTGTAGTTGGAGAAGTAGCATTATGTGGGTATTTATGCAGTCGTTGATTGTGCTCATTTATCTTATGGAATTGATGGCTTCCTGTGGTAACTAGGAAACATTGTGTTCTCCTATATGCAAACTTGTCGCCTCTGATTTGTAACCCGCAAATTGATATCGATGAAAGCAAACAAAATGATCTCGAGCGAAGCAAACAAACAAGCAGAGCAAGCTATCAGAATTCAGAAAGATTGTCCTCCGTCTTCTTTCAAATGAATTCGCATACAAATTTGCTTACGAATGAATTGTTGGTACATCTTCGACTCAAATTCGACAAGATGGGTGAAACAATGAGATGAATGCCAGAATCTTGACCAGCTATGGCTTGCTCTACTACTCTCTCTGCCGGAAAAGTTAATCTGCTCACAGGGTCTTTTGTGAGTAGATACTCACAAGGCCCAGATTTGTCCACGTTGGTCCAGTTCTAATCCAAGGGTGAGGGGGTTAGCCCAGCCATGGCTCATTTAAGTGAGCTATTTAAGGGATTTTTTGCACTAGCCGGCCCAGCTGACCAAGTTGAACAAGGTGGCTTGGGTCCACCTTTAATTTGGGCGGGATTGAGAAAGGGAGCCGCTGAGATAACTCTTATCCAGCCGAGACAAATAAATATCCAAAAGTACACGAACTAATATCCGGTCTGAGTTTGACAAAAGAGAGAGAAAAGCATGACCCACCATCTGCTACTTTTGATGCTTTTGGTGAATTTTCACACGAGAGAGATGTTGAGCATTTAATGCCACCCGCCACCCACCAACTATTCTCACATGAAGAGAGAAATCAACTCGGATTAATATTCATATCGTCCAATCTAGTATCCATCCTTAACCAAAATATTATCCATGGACCGAAGGAAATTAGTTTATGTCGTCGGATATTAGTCTGGGCAGTATGGATATTAATTTTTGCATGAATTGATATTATATGCGATGGATATTAGTTTGTGAATTAATTGTGTCTTCCATCAAAATTAAACACGCTATCAAGTCCTAACACATAAGGCTTGCAACCTTAGTTAGGGCTGCCCGCCGAGGGGCCATTGGCCGAAGGCCAATGAATCAATAATAGTAGGAGAGAGTTTCTTCCAGACCCTTATATTAGTCCGTTTGTGATTTCGGAAATTAGTTTATGTGGTTAGATATTAGTCAGGTTGACAATGATATTTGTTTGTTTAAGGGTGGATATTATTTCCAGTGTGGATGAATGTTAGTCTAGGAGCCACGAATATTTGTTCTATAAAAGACAAATATTTGTTTTCGGGTGAATGGGTGTTTGTATGGGCGGTATGGATGTTTGTTTTATGAACTTATATTATATGCGGAAGATATTAGTTTGTAACTATTCACGTGTGAACCTTATGGTCACTATTCCCATGTGAACCTTGTACTAACTATTCAAATGTCATCTTTGTTTATTTAAGCACCCACCCTAACATACTGGTTTCCCAACTTACCCATCATGTTGTTCTTCTCTTCTCAAACAACTTCCATGTCTTCAGAGTAAGAGAATGAAGATATCACCGAGGAAAGCATCTGTAAATGAAGTTTTTTTTTTGTCATGGTAGGTCTGATATTATTCCGTTTTTGATTTTGGATATTAATTTATGTGGTTGGATATTAGTCAACGTGTCAATGATATTTGTTCGCATAAGGATGAATATTATATCTGGAGTGGATGGATGTTAGTTTGGGCGCCACCGATATTTATTCGATTTAGGACATATATTTATTTTGGGGTGAATGGGTATTTGTTCTATAAAGGACGGATATTAGTTTTGCCCGTTATGTAATCGAATATTAGTTTTGCGAGATTAGATTTTTTGTTTCCTTTATTTGGATATTAGTCTACATAGTTGTTCTTATTAGACCTTCTGATTAATAATATTTGTGTTTGCCCAAAAGAGTATCCATCCTCCTTTTACATCACAAAGCTAATATTACTTTTCACCAAAATAATTTCAAAGCCCCCCAACTAATTACAACTACACCCACTTGACCTACTTAGGGTTTAGAGTTTAGAGTTCATGGTTTAGAACACAATGTATGGTGGTTCGATATTTTGTCTGTGTAGTTGAATATCAGTCTGTGTATTGTTGATATTTGACTGTGATGGTGAGATATTGCATTTTTAATGACTAGATATTGGTTTGAGACAGTGATATATTAGTTTGGATGGTATGGATATTTTTTAGGGTTTAGAGTGAGAGTTGTTTTGGTTTAGGGTTTAGAAGATGATGTTGTGGAAATGGATATGAACACAATGTAGAATGATTTGATATCTCTCTGTGGTGATAAGATATTACTATGTGATGGGAGGATATTAGTTTGCGATGTGTGGGTATTTCCCGTGTTGTGAGTATTAGTTCGCGATGGTCAGATCTTATTTTGTGTGTAGTCTGTGATGGTGAGGATATTAATTATGGAACGACTGGATATTGGTATTAGACTGTGAGATATTAGTCTGGGTGGTGTGGATATTTGTTTTGTGTGGATGTTTATCTATGTTTGTTTGTGTTGATATTGAGTTTTAAAAAATCCATATAAAATAAAGTTGTTTTTTCGACAAACCACGATACAACTAGTATTAATGTCATTCCAATTTGGCAATCCCATAATCTAAAATCCAAAAAAGTACAACCACATAAAAAAAAAAACAGAAAAAATAGTTCAAATGTTGTCTTGCTTGATCAAACTCTCGATAATCTTTTTGATCATGTCCCTCCGAGCCCCCCATGTTTCGATCATGCTACGATGAGGTCGGAATGATCCTTCTCTTAGTTGCGGTCTCTTCGCTTTTGTTTTAGTTCTTGCCATTGTCCAATATCCCTGGAATCATAGATAAATATCTAGGTATTAATCAACTGATATCCCCGCCACACAGAACTAATATAAGGTAAATATAATCCATACATCCAGAGTAAATCCAGACAAACCAAAAACAATATCCACCAATGACATTCCTAATATCAGGCCAGTAAATTACAAAACTAATATCCAACATGAAACTAACTAAATATCCAGCACGAAATGAACTAATATCCACCATAAAACGAATCAATGTACATCAAACTAATATCCAACATGAAAAGAACAAATATCAAGCATGAAACAAAGTAATATCAACCATAAAAAGAACCAATTCTTGCCATTTTGATTTTCCTGCACAAACAAATATCCTGACATAAGCTAACTAATATTTGGGCTTCACATGAACAGTATTCCTAACGTTATGAAGTCATATCAATAAAGTCATATCCACATTCGTCAAACAAAAACCCAGTCTATCATAAAACTGATATCCCTAAAGATGACAACTAATATCAATGAGGTGATATCCGGATACATAAAAAATATCCAGGATAGTATACAACTGATATCGCTACTGATCAAAACTAATATCAATGAATTGACATCCAGATACTAAATAAAACTATTCAGGCAAGTTTATAATGATATCTCAAACCCACAAAACAACTCGCATCCCATGCCACAGAAAACAAATCCAGAAAACCCATCCAATATAACTAAGCAAAAGAAAAAATCCAGATCCGGCGGTTTCCATGAAACCAGAAAACAAATCCAGAAAACCCATTAAAAAAATCAAAGAAAAAGAATCGAAGGAAAAGAAAAACCTAGATCCAGTCGAATCCTAACTCGAATCGAAGCAAACGAACATTCAAATCATGAATAAAGGAAGGAGAAGAAGCCTACATCCGTCAAGGATCGTCGCGCCGCCGTCAATAAACTATGGTCGCTTCCTCGTCGTCAAACCGGTCGTTCCTTCGCGCACACCCCATGTCTGCACCGTCACTGTCAAACCAGCCACCGCACGCACCCAAACTAACCTTCGTTGCCGTTCAAACCTTCGTCGCCGTCAAGGACCGTCGCGTGCACCAACCGTCGTCGTCGTCATATTCTTGAGAGGAAGTGAGAAAGTTTATACGGAAGAGAAAGGGAAGATGAAGCTTTTTATTTTTATTTTTGGAGAGAGGAAAGAAATAGACAGAATGGTGGAGAGAGAAGTGAAAAAGTGGATTTATTTGAGAAAGTGGGTGAAATTTGAAAAAAGTGGAGCCACTTTTCTTGATAGGTGAAACTGGCTTTGGCCAGCTGAGCCGATCAGCCTCTCCACCCTCACAATCCGGCGCCACTGCTCCACCACCCTCCGATCACGGCTCGGCGACGTGGTCAACAATCTGCCCGTGTGAGTATATACTCGCAGCTTATATTGCCAAAACCCTGAATCTGAGATTTTATTATGTTTGAGGAGAAGAACCATCTAAGCTTATGGAATGATCGCACCTAGAGAACCAGAAAGTAGAATCCAACTAAATAATGAAACCTAAAACATAACTGGAATTGCATTACACAAAGCCACAAGGAGGCTTCGGCCTGCAATTCCTTTCATTCGTTTTGACCTCTTCTTCCCGTGTAGCTGGATAGAAATAAAGAATCAATTTCCTGGGCCACAATGAAGAACCTCCGCCACTGTCTACACTCTCTCGCATCCATCTCCACTCTCTCTCAGCCACTTCTCCCTCCGCCGCTCCATGGCTACCGCAGTCGACACCGCCGTCTCCCCTTCCAACACCCTCGTCGGCTGGATCGGCACCGGAGTCATGGGCCGTTCCATGTGCTCCCACCTCATCAAAGCCGGCTACTCCCTCACCGTCTTCACCCGCACCGCCTCCAAAGCCCAACCCCTCCTCGACCTCGGCGCCAAGCTCGCAGATTCCCCAATCGCCGTCGCTTCCCAATCCGACGTCGTCTTCTCCATCGTCGGCTTCCCCTCCGACGTCCGTCAGGTCCTCCTCGAACCCACCACGGGGGCCCTCCACGGCCTCCGCCCCGGAGGAGTCCTGGTCGACATGACCACGTCGGAACCCTCCCTCGCCGCCGAAATCGCCGCCGCCGCATCCGCCAAACACTGCCACTCCATCGACGCCCCCGTCTCCGGCGGCGATCGCGGCGCGAAGAGCGGGAACCTGGCGATATTCGCCGGCGGGGATCAATCCATCGTCGAGAAATTAAAACCCTTGTTTGCCCTCATGGGGAAAGTCAACTACATGGGTTCTCCAGGTAAAGGCCAATTCGCAAAATTGGGGAATCAAATCACCATAGCTTCAACGATGGTTGGATTGGTGGAAGGGATCATCTATGCTTACAAAGCAGGGCTCAACGTGGAGCTTTACTTGAGCGCGATATCCACCGGAGCCGCCGGATCCAAGTCGCTCGATTTGAACGCCGGCCGGATAATGAAGAGGGATTTCGAACCTGGGTTTTATGTGAATCATTTCGTTAAGGATTTGGGGATCTGCTTGAAAGAGTGCCAGAATATGGGTCTGGCTTTGCCTGGTTTGGCCTTAGCTCAGCAGCTTTATCTGTCGCTCAAGGCTCATGGAGAAGGCGATTTGGGCACCACGGCGCTTATTTTGGCCCTTGAGAGGCTCAACAATGTTTCCCTCGAGAATCTTGGATCATCATCCACCCCTGGAGCATAGATAAACTGGTAAACAATTGGAATTCATGTGTGGTAATGGTGTTCTGGGTGATCCATTCCTAATCATAGCAGGATTTGTAAGAGTTTTTCCGACTGTGAAATTGGCATTGTTCTGCCTCTGTCAAGGGTTATTGGAGATAAATAAGTAACCCTTTTCCGTATGGTTTCTTCTGTTCTGTTGTGTTCTCTTTGGTAGTTGCAACGTTGCTGGTTTGTTGCTCGATGTTCTTGCTTATGATAGTTGGCAACTTGGAAAGGAAGAAGAAAGTTTCAGAGAGCTTGAATTCATAGACTTAATATAATTCTAGCTTCTGAGTTATACCAGAAGCTTCAAGCTTGAATGATTCAGCTGCATGGTTGGCTGTCCTGAACAGAGTGTGCCAAAAGCAAGAATCTTCCGTCAAACCCCAATTCTGAAAACCACACGAATCTCTCGGGAAATGAGTAAACGTGCAGACAAGACAATACAGGCGAAGTGGCAAAGATGGATAAAGTTTGGAACTTCTTCACATTAAAGTATTGGAAAAAGTCTACAGTCTTGGTCAAAACTGGCGAGCTAACTGCTCCAGAACCGCACCCATCTTCTTCTGGAAGAAGTAGACTTAATCTGATATATCAGGAAGATTCAACACTGCTTCTGCCTTCTCGTCGTTTTGTGAAATCTAACGTGCGTAAAATGAAGCTTCTTTGAATTGCAGGGATGGAATTCAGCAACGCGGACTTTTTTGGCCGTAGGTGGTTTTCGCTTTCTGTGGAAGAGCTGGGTTTTTCCATCTTCATTTTGATTGCTTCCATCCCCTGCCGACGGAAGTCAATTGATAGGAACTGTGCAGTTGGAGAAAAACCCAGATCCGTACAGAGCCTGCGGACTTCACGCTTTTGGAGCTATCAGCAGCTTTCCAAGACTTCGAACGCCGTGGCCGTGCGGTTTTCACACCCACCAGAAACCAAAAAGACTTGGCCTTTCTCCAAAACCCGTCTTCCATTTCCATTTCCATCGCCAGAGTTTTCCGGGGCCAAAAGCCAGAAAGAGCCAGAGAAAACTAAGAGAGCAACATAACATGTCAAGGCCAAGTCTTTCATGTCTCTCCCTCTACCTGCTCACAGTCTCAGCCTTTTTCATTGCCCATGGAACCTCTCAGAGCCAGGAGAATACAGCCGATGACCGAGAAATCCTGCTAAGAATCAAGCAATACTGGCAGGACCCGCCGCAGCTGTCTCACTGGTCATCTTCAGGCTCCTCCTCGCCCTGCAGTTGGCCGGAAGTTAACTGCACCGTCGCCAACTCGGTCATGGGGTTGAATTTCAACTCCATGAACATCCCCGGTACGGTTCCACCATTCATTTGCGACTTAAAAAACTTGGCAGTTCTTGATCTTTATAACAACAGTATTGCGGGAGGTTTTCCAAGGGAGCTCTACAACTGTTCCATGCTCCAGTACTTGAATCTCGGTCAGAACTACTTCGTCGGTCCGGTTCCTGATGACATCGACCGGTTGGCTCGCCTCAATCATCTCGATCTCTCTGGTAATAACTTCACCAGTGATATTCCGGCGGCCATTGGGCGGTTGAAGGAGCTGAGAGTTCTGTACCTCAATCAGAATCAGTTTAACGCGACTTTCCCACTGGAGATTGGCTTGTTATCCCACCTGGAAGAGTTATCATTGGCCCACAATGGGTTTCTGCCTTCGAGGCTGCATTTCAACTTCACCCAGCTGAAGAATCTCAAAGTGTTGTGGGTTTCTAATGCGAATTTGATTGGTGAGATAGCACCAACGATTGGGGAAATGGCAGCTCTGGAGTATTTGGATTTATCTACGAATAAACTCAATGGAAGTATCCCTGATGGCTTGTTTAGGTTGAAGAACTTGACAGTGGTGTATCTATACAAGAACAGATTATCTGGACCAATTCCTCAATCCGTGGAGTCTCTGGAATTGACCGACGTAGATGTTTCGGACAACAACTTGAGTGGCTTGATTCCTGATGACTTCGGAAAGCTGGAGAAAGCCCGAATCTTGAATCTCTTCTTCAACAATTTGGGTGGCGAAATCCCAGAGAGCATTGGCAGGCTTCCACAACTGAAAGAGTTCAGTGTGTTCACTAACAACTTATCAGGCTCAATCCCTGCCGATTTTGGAAGATACTCCATGCTTGAAGTTCTTCAAGTTGACTCCAATCGCCTTACCGGTCAACTTCCTGAACATCTATGCAGCAATGGGAAGTTAGATGGAGTTGCAGCGTACGATAACTTTCTCAGTGGAGAGCTGCCCGCATCACTTGGAAACTGCAGCACCTTGAGATTCCTCAGCATTAAGAACAACTCTTTCTCTGGAGAGCTTCCTGCTGGGTTATGGACTGCAACTAATTTGGAAACTCTTATCATTGGAGATAATTCCTTCACAGGTCAGCTTCCTGATGATATGTCATGGAATCTTTCTCGAATTGAGATGAGCAACAACAACTTTACTGGGGGGATTCCAATTGGAGTGAGCAATTGGAGCAACATGGTGTTCTTCTCTGCAAGCAACAACTCCATTTCTGGCACAATCCCTCCACAGTTGACTTCCCTACCTCGACTCACCAATCTTATGCTAGATGGAAACCAACTTACTGGTTCCCTTCCATCTGACATCATCTCATGGGAGTCTCTAACAACTCTCAACCTCAGAAGAAACCAGCTCTCGGGTGAAATTCCTGACCAAATTGGCAATCTACTTCGTCTTTCAGAACTAGACTTATCAGAAAACCAATTGTCTGGCAACATTCCTCCACAAATCAGTCGATTGCCTCTAACTTCTCTGAATCTCTCCTCCAATCAGCTAGCGGGAAACATCCCACGGCAGTTTGAAAATGGTGCTTTTTCCGATAGCTTCTTGAACAACCCTGGTCTGTGTTCAAGCAACTCTGACCTGAACCTCAGTAGCTGCAACTCAAGACCTTCTCAATCAAGCAAGCGTACTGCGACTCACATCCTCGCCTTGGTGTTAAGCGTTTCAGCAATCATCGTCGTGGTATCTGTCATATCATCATTTCTCGCCATCAGGAAGCTTAGAGGGAAGCGAGTACAGGATTCTGCCTGGGAGTTCACGTCGTTCCAGAAGCTCAACTTCACTGAGGAGAAAATCCTTGCAGGGTTAACAGAGAGCAATGTGATTGGAATGGGTGGTTCAGGGAAAGTCTATCGTGTTGCTGTGGACCGTCAGAATGATTTCGTTGCAGTGAAAAGAATCTGGAACGATGATGATAACAAACTGGCTAAGGAGTTCATGTCGGAAGTGGAGACATTGAGTGCAATCAGACACTCCAACATAGTCAAGCTTCTGTGCTGCATATCCAATGGCGATTCTAAGCTTCTTGTTTATGAGTATATGGAGAACCGTAGCCTGGATTGGTGGCTGCATTCCGGTACAATGAAGCGGGCAGCACTGGACTGGCCAAAGCGACTCAACATCGCCATATGTGCAGCTCAAGGTCTGGCTTACATGCACCATGATTGTGTGCCTTCAATCATTCACCGAGACGTGAAATCCAGCAACATCCTTCTGGACTCCGAATTCAACGCCAAGATCGCCGATTTCGGCCTGGCAAGAATGACGATGATGAACAGCAGCAGCAGCAGTAGCAGTGGAGAAGAAGCTGCTGCTACGTTTTCCACGGTGGCTGGCTCGTTTGGCTACATGGCTCCAGGTATAGACTCCACTGCCTCGTTTCTCTTTTATTTACAGCAACTCTTAGACCTAGTAAATGACCGAAATACCAGCCAAATCACATCAAGAATTTTGAACGAAATGTCATTGATCCTTTATGATCCACCAATCCAGGAATCCATTTGAACCCAATGCATAATCGAGAAACTCATTAAAACCCAACTTAAACCCAATTGCCTCCTTTTTAAGGATACATGAAAGATGAAAACCTTGTCGTGCACACTTGCAGAGTACGGGCAGACGAGGAGGGTGAACGAGAAGATTGATGTGTACGGCTTTGGCGTGGTGCTGTTAGAGCTGACGACAGGGAGACAGGCGAACGGTGGGGGAGGGGAGGAGAAGATGAGGACGACGAAGAGCCTTGCAGAGTGGGCCTGGGGCCGAGTCCAGGAAGGGAAGGCGATCGGCAATGTCCTCGACGAGGAGGTGAAGGAGGAAGGTTGTTACTTGGATGAGATGGTGTCTGTTTTCAAGCTGGGGATTCTGTGTACGACCGCATTGCCTTCGAGCAGGCCGTCGATGAAGGAAGTGGTGCAGATGTTGGAAAGATGGAGAAGAGAGGGGATTTCACGAGGGAAGAGTGGCAGTGAAAGGAGGGTAGACGAGAGCCCTCTGCTTAGGAACTCCAATGGCGACAGTAGCTTGCCAGTGTGATTATGGGTGTAGATATTACATAGCAAGGAGTTTGAAGTAGTCACTAGTCAGGCAAAGATTGTATTTTGGCGGGTTTTTTTTCCTATTTCCAGCTGTAGTGGTAAAAGAATGAATGCACAATAAACAATCATACATACATATCCAACAAGATAAGGAATCGGAATACAATGTATGAATGTAACACAAGAGATATATATGCCCTCTATCTGTGTGTTAATTCGCACATTTGTTGCTCTCTCTTAAATGTCTGGTATAATAGCTTTTTACTTTTTGTGAGTCAGGATATAGGCTGGCTGAGAGCCTGACTCGTGCAAGTATGAGAAAGAAGTCAGGGTGTGATCCGGTGGATAGGGGCGTTATGGATAAAAGTGTGGGACCTTGAGGTGCAACCCAAGCTCAGGCTTTTTATCTGGCAACTTTTGCAACGCACTCTCCCGACGATGGAGGCTTTAATTCGGAAGAAGGTCTTGGTTTTACCACGCTGTCCCGTGTGCTGGGCTCCAGAAGAAAATATAGAACACTTATTTTTCTTGTGCCCGGTGGCGGTGGCGATATGGGAAATGGCAGGGTTACGGAATGACTTATTGATTGGTCAAGAACAAGCGTTCCCTATTTTCTTCCGGCGGTTCTTAGAGCGGGACTCCTCTCCCGTGAGAGTGGTTCGTCTTGTTTGTCTTCTCTGGCGGATTTGGAAGTCTAGAAATTTGGTGGCCTTTGAGGGATAGCAAGACATTTTCTCAGTACTGGAAAGGTAGTTCAGTTTTCAGGTTCAGGAATGGTTGGATAGTTTGTCCCCGACTAGTGGGAGAGTAACTGCTCCAGCAGTGCAGGTGGTTGAGCCGGGTGTCGTGCCGGGTGTATACAGGTGCGCCTTTGATGGGGCGATTTCTAATGGGTCGCATGGCTCCATTGGGATTGTCCTGCAGGATGAGGCTGGTGGGATTCTAATGGCACGAGGGTTGTGTATCTCCGGTATGGTTGATCCGATGTTGGTGGAGGCAATGGCTCTTCGAGATGCACTGTGCTAGTGTGCAGAGGCTGGTCTTTCGGCAGTTCAGTTTGTTGGTGATGCGAAGGTGGTGATCGACAAAGCTAACGCAGGGACCAGTAGGGATGCGAAAGGCGGGGCTATCTTCCAGGAAATCTGTCGGCTGCTGGGAGCTAATGTTGGGTTTAGAGTGATGTTTGTAGGTAGACAGAACAATAGGGTGGCCCATTTGGTGGCCAAAAAAGCCCTCGATTTGTTTCCTACGAGAAGTATTGGTTTTGATTTTCGGGCGTGGTTGTGCTCGGAAATTGGTTTGATGTAACTTTTTTGTCTTGGTAATGCAAGTATCTTTTCGGGAAAAAAAAACAACTGGTTTTCGATTTGAACTGCGCGATGACTCTGATTTACCCCTCTGGTTTACCCTTGGAAGACAATGAATTGTACACCATGGGTCGGGTTTTGTCAAAACCAAACTTAAATTCATAGGTTTATCCGTAAAAAAAATCGGGGTAAAACCCACTGGGTTTGAAAAACTCAAACTCAACCCAACACGCTTGATGTCCGCGGGTTCATGGGCACCTATAAGTTTTTGCGGTAAAAAATTTACAATAACAAGTTCATATCAAAATAAAATTCAAACATCAATTCCCACATACAAATTATCCACATATAAAACATCAGTCTATAAAATTCAAACAAATCACAATTACACTAAATAAAAGCATACAATTTTTTGTTTTTCGTTCATTTGTTTGGGGAGAGTAGGGAGGCGGCAAAGTGAGTCGGGAGTGTCGTGAGAGTTAGATTAAGGGAAATTAGAATTAGGGTAGGGTTTGGGTAGAGTAGGGCGATGAAATAAGTGTGTGCGGGCACCAGCACCCTTGTTCCATGAAGTTCAGCGACTTCTTCGACATCATCAACGTGTAGGGATGCCTCAAGCAGAAACAAGAGTGCGACAACAACAAATTCATGATGAAGAGCAGGAGGATTTCGTTGATCTTGAAGACTAATACATCCAAGAAGAAGAGGATGATCTTTGCAATTTCAAGGTAACCATTCCATCGTTTCGAGGTACGACAAACCCTGATGCCTACCTAGATTGGGAGCGAAAGATGGAGTTGGTGTTTGATTGCCATAATTATTCGAAAAAGAAGAAGGTGACGTTGGCTGCCCTAGTATTCTCGGATTATGCTCTAGTTTGGTGGGATCAGCTATGCACGGGGAAGAGGAGAAATAGACAACATCCTATTGATACATGAGATGAGATGAAGGATATTATGAGGGATCAATTTGGGCCAAGTTCCCATCAAAGAGATATGTATCAGAACCTCCAACTTCTTCGGCAAGGAACTAAAAGTGTTGAAGATTACCACAAGGAGATGAAAGTTTTGATGATACGGGCTGATGTTAGAGAAGATCGAGAGGCCACCATTGCTCGTTTCCTGTATGGTCCCAATCGTGAGATTAAAAACATGGTTGAAATCCAACCACTCCTTGAGCTTGAAGATCTTGCCTCTATGGCCAGCAATGTGGAAAGGTAGCTAGGTACTAGACGGTTTCAACCTTCTACGAGTTCCCCACGACCAAATCAGGGTGTTGCTACTAAGCTTAAACCGCAAGTTTCTACTAGAGAGTCTCCCAAGCCTGCGACATGGGTTGAGAGTGCTAATTCTGGTGTGAATCAAGGTGGATCATCTGGGGGAATTCAGGGTTTCAAATGTCATAGAAGAGGTCATATTGCGAGTCAATGCCCAAACAAGAAGACCTTAATTCTACTCGACAATGGCGAGTATGTTTCCGAAGAGGAAGTAGAAGAGGCCACCGATTCTGAAGTTGATGAATCTCTTGATATGGAAGCACCTCCGGGAAGTTTGTTGGTGACAATAAGGGTAATGACCGTACAACCTAAGGGAGATCTAGAGCAGCGTGAGAATTTGTTCCACACCAGGTGCGTGGTTGATGGAAAGCTACTCTTGACACGCTATGACACAATACCTAACAATGGCCAAGTGTAACCAATGAAAGGGACTGCAGTATAGTGGCACAAGTAATAAATATTGAATCCACGGGTCTCTAGAGTTACTATTACTCAGCTTCAGTTCATTATCTAGCAAACTAGATTAAGGATTGATTTACTAAACTACTCTTCCAATTACTCTACTAATTACAGGTTTGGAACTCACTTAGGTACGATTCCCCCTAGCTCCTCAATTAGGTCAAAGTTGTAATTCCTTTTGGTTGTTTTAATGTTGATTAAACTGCGGAAGATCCTAATTTAGCTTGGAATCTCTTAAGCTGACCAAGCCCTCTTAGACAGAATACCCGACAGGCAACTAGCCTTCACCGGAATAGACTGCTAAGGGGATTCACACAAATCTCTACTGCATGGAATGAATTCCAGTATAAAGCAATGAATTGACTGACTCTCGCACAACCAATTCACTACTATCAATCAAGGAAGCTCTCTTAACCTAATCAGATTCTATATATCATAGGTTAAAGCAGAAATCAAGAGAATTTGATCAGGATTCAATTGACTCAATAAATCATGCCTCAATCGATTATAATCACACAATATAGCATCCAAAACTTCATACAAGAAAGATCCTAACACATGGAACTAGGGTTTCACAAAACCTAATTGAAGGGAAGTTATTCCATAGAGAAGAGAGAGATTGCAGTATAACTTTCCAGATCTTCAATCTTCATGTCTAGACTTGTTCCTTGATCTTCAATGGTGAAGAATCCTCCAAGATAGCTCCAAGAATGGCTCTAGATCGCCTCTCTCTTTTTGGTTTGTCCCTTGGGTGTTTGGGATCCAAAACCCAGCTCCCCCTCTCCAAAAATCGCAAAACAGCTTTTATGCCCGCTGAAACTCGCACCCCCTACTAGCACGGCCGTGCAAATTGAGGTTTTGGCCGTGAAAACCCCCTGGGAAACGCACACGGCCGTGCACAATTTCCAGCATGCACTCCTAAGCTTCGTTGATCTCGTTTGACCTCGTTTGACCTCTGATTCAGGTGTCGTTTGATCCCAGATGCTCGTAGTCTTGTCCTCTTTCTTTTCATGACAACCTTCCATGATTCTTTGTTAATAAAATGAGGTATAAATCCATTCTTCCTCAAGTCATTCCCGAGTTTCTCACCCAGAGTTGCCAATTGATCTCCGATTGACTTGAAACTTGCGCCTAGGCTTCACTTTACATGCTAGGACATGAAATATGACAAAGGAACACAACCTAGTGTAAAATAGTCCAAGAAATCAAAATCTCAAGCCAAAATGATCAAGAAACAAGGGTGCAAACATGTGCAAATACAACGTTATCAACTCTCTATGGTGATCGACGGAGGAAGTTACACTAACGTAATAAGTGCAATTGTGGTGAAGAAGCTAGGGTTTAATACATAGAACCATCCTAAGCCCTATACTCTACAATGGCTTAAAGATCATGGATCAATTAAAGTAACGAATCAAGCATTGATGAAGTTCGAGATTGGTGAGTATAAGGATGAAATTTTGTGTCATGTGGTACTGATGCATGCGGCACACATACTTCTGGGCATGCCATTATAGTTCGATCCTCAAGCATGACATGATGGATTTACTAATTAGTACAAGCTGGTACATGGAGGTCAGAAGTTTGTGCTTAAACCACTCTCTCCGAAGGAAGTCTATGGAGATCAATTACAAATGCAGGAAAGTCGAGAGTGGGAGAAGGAGATCAATGACACGGTCAAGAATGAGAAGGAAGGTTCCAATATCGTGGGATCCAAGACAATGATGTTGGCACGAAGTGGAGATTTGAAACAAGCAACCTATGATCATGATCATCTACAAGGGCGTTTCATTAATCAAGAGTTGGTCCAAGAAGATACTCATGAGGAATGAGGTGTTTTGGAGGAGTTTGACGATGTTTTTCCCGAGGAAGCACCAATGGGGCTGCCTCCCATCCGAGGGATTGGACATCAGATTGATTTTGTTCTGGGAGCTACTATTCCGAACAAAGCAGCTTATAAAATGAATCTAGAGGAGTCAAAAGATTTGCAGAGGCTGATTGATGAGCTCATGAAGAAATGCCATGTTCGTGAAAGCATGAGCCCTTGTGCAGTTCCTGTTATACTCGTGCCCAAGAAGGATCACACCTGGCGAATGTGTGTTGGCTGTTGAGCCATTAATCATATCACAGTTAAGTATCGTCATCCTATACCTCGTTTAGATGATATGCTTGACGAATTACATGACTCTAGT